TAATCCCAATTCTACTCCCAACTCAAGAAAGTGCAAGGGTCACAATCAGCCTGTGGATCTCTGTAGGGTTCATATTAACATGGGTGGACACGGTATAGCCAGCAGATGGTATTATTAATAAATAGGAAAATTCTAACCTAAGTAAACAATCTGAAAAATGAAAAAGCTTTGTGCATAAAGATGTTAATTCTATTCCTCCTCTCTTCCTTTCTCCGCCATCGTGGTGTGTGCATACTCCGTTTCTCGCCATGTCTTCTCACAAGACTTTCAGGATTAAGCGATTCCTGGCCAAGAAACAAAAGCAAAATCGTTCCATTCCCCAGTGGATTCGGATGAAAACTGGTAATAAAATCAGGTACAACTCCAAAAGGAGACATTGGAGAAGAACCAAACTTGGTCTGTAAGAAATTACACATGTGATGGCACACATATTTATGCTGTCTGTAGGTCACAGTCGTGTTACCAAATCAAGCTGAAAAATGTCACCGCCATCTGGAGAAGTTTGAACAGTTTCCTTTCTGTATCTGTTATGAAGGCATTAGTACAACGCACAGTGTTTCCATTATTCATGTTAAAAAAAAACAACAAGGTTTTGGTTGCCTGGGTTCAGTAATAAATATGTGAGACCTTTCACTTCTAAAAAAAAAAAAAAAGATGTTAATTCTAGCACTGTTTTTATTTTTCCTTTCTCTTTTATTTTTTGAGACAGTCTTGTTCTGTTGCTCAGGCTGGAGTGCAGTGGCACAATCTTGGCTCACTGTAACCTCCGCCTCCTGGGTTCAAGCAATTATCCTGCCTCAGCCTCCTGAGTAGCTGGGATTACAGGCATGTGCCTCCAACGCTGGCTAATTTTTTTTGTATTTTTAGTAGAGACAGTGTTTTACCATATTGGGCAGGCTGGTCTTGAACTCCTGATCTTGTGATCCACCCGCCTCAGCCTCCCAAAGTGCTGGGATTACAGGCATGAGCCACCGTGCCTGGCTTATTTTTATTTTTTAATTTTAATTTTTGTGAGCACAGAGTAGGTTTATATATTTGTGGGATATATAGATGTTTTGATACAGGCATGCAATGTGTAATAATCACATTATGTAAAATGGAGTATCCATCCCCTCAAGCATTTATCTTTTGTGTTATAAATAGTCCAATTATATTCCTTTAGTTATTTTAATTAATTTTTTTTTGAAATGGAGTTTTGCTCTTTTCGCCCAGGCTGGAGTGTAATGGCTTGATCTCGGCTCACTGCAACCCCCGCTTCCTGGGTTCAAGCGATTCTCCTGCCTCAGCCTCCTGAGTAGCTGGAATTAACAGGCATGAGTGACTGCACCCAGTTAATTTTTGTATTTTTAGTAGAGATAGGGTTTTGCCATGCTGGCCAGGCTGGTCTCAAACTCCTGACCTCAGGTGGAGGTTACAGGTGTGAGCCACTGCACCCGGCCAATAAATGTACATTTAATATTACTAAATAAAAATATATTAAAATTTTAATATCAAAAAATTATTAATGCACAAGTAAATAATTTTTGACTATAGTCACCCTGTTGTGCTATAAAATATTAGGTCTTATTCATTCTAAAAATTTTTTTGGTATCTATTAACCAACCCCAGCTCTCTCCAACCCTGCCACGACCCTTCCCAGCCTTTGATAACGATCCTTCTATTCTGTGTCTCCATGAATTCAATCGTTCTGATTTTCAGATCCCACAATATGTGAGAACATGTGATGTTTGTCTTTCTGTGCCTGGCATATTTCACTTAGCATAATGACCTCCAGTTCCAGTCATGTTGTTGCAAATGACAGGATCTCATTCTTTTTATGGCTGAATAGTCTCCACTGTATGTAAGTACCATATTTTCTTTATGTGTTCATCTGCTAATGGACACTTAGGCTGCTTCCAAACTTTGGCTATTGTGAAGAGCACTGCAACAAACGTGGGAGTGCAGATATCTCTTCGTATACTGATTTCCTTTCTTTGGGGTATAAACCCAGAGGTGGTCTAAAGAGCACACTTTGGGCTGAGGGTGGTAGCCCACGCCTGTAATCCCAGCACGTTGGGAGGCTGAGGTGGGCAGATCACCCGAGGTCAGAAGTTTGAGACCAGCCTGACCAACATGGAGAAACCCTGTCTTTACTAAAAATACAAAATCAGCTGGGCGTGGTGGCACATCCCTGTAATCCCAGCTACTAGTGGGAGGCTGAGGCAGGAGAATTGCTTGAACCTGGGAGGTGGAGGTTGTGGTGAGCTGAGATTGTGTCACTGCACTCCAACCTGGGCAACAAGAGTGACACTCTGTTTCAAGAAAGAAAAGAAAACAAAACAAAACAAAAAACCCCACACACACTCTGGAAATAACTGCATGACAATAGTAAAGAGAATTATGGTACAGCCAGTCTATGAATGCAACCATTAGAAACCAAGTATCTGGCCAGGCGTGGTGGCTCAGGCCTGTAATCCCAGCATTTTGGGATGCCTGGGGGGTGGATCACGAGGTCAGGAGTTCAAGACTAGCCTGGACAACATAGTGAAACCCCATCTCTACTAAAAATACAAAAAATTAGCTGGGCGTGGTGGCGGGCACCTGTAATCCCAGTTACTCGGGAGGCTGAAGCAGGAGAATCATTTAAATGGGAGGTGGAGGTTGCAGCGAGCCAAGATCATGCCATTGCATTCCAGCACAGGTGACAGCGCAAGACTTCATCTCAAAAAAAGCAAAAAAAGAAAGAAGGAAATCACGTATCTAAGGAATTTATAATGTGTTGTTCTGCTAAGTTAAAAAGCTGAATGCAAAGTTGAGATATAGCACTTAATTCTATTTATAAAATACTTTCATTAATATCCTGCTTTATTATGGAAAAAAATCCATGTAAGGTAGCTGGCAAAAATCATACCAGAAAAAAAATATAACCTTAAATAAATACCGGAGAAAACTGGATAAATTAAAACATTGGCTGGGTGTGGTGGTTCACACCTATAATTCCAGCACTTTGGGAAGCTGAGGTGGGCAGATCATTTGAGGTTAGGAGTTCGAGATCAGCCTGGCCAACATGATGCAACCCTGTCTCTACTAAAAATACAAAAAAATTAGCTTGGCATGGTGGTACATGCCTGTAATCCCAGCTACTCAGGAAGCTGAGGCAGGAGAATTGCTTGAACTTGGTAGGCGGAGGTTGCAGTCAGCCAAGATTGCACCATTGCACTCCAGCCTGGGCAATAGAGTGAGACTCCATCTCAAAATAAATAAATAAAAATTTTAAAACAAAAAATAATAAAAATAAAAAAATAAGGTGGAAAAGTTAAATGAAGTTAAGAATGTGGCTGGCATACAGAATACGTAATCATCATTTGCTTCAGGCAGGCCACGGAGCAAGGTTCTGCACTTTCTCATGGCTAATGTAAAGGTACACACAATGATCCATATAACATGATTCACACTGTCCTTAAGATAAGAAGCAACTAGCCATGCAGAGGAAGCACAACTTCCTAGGGTTGAGACAGAAAGAAATTTCTTCTGTGGCTCTACGGAAATAAGACATAGAAATATATACATATATATATATATATTTTGAGATGGAGTTTCACTCTTGTTGCCCAGGCTGGAGTGCAATGGTGCAATCTCAGCTGACTGCAACCTCCACCTCCTGGGCTCAAGCAATTCTCCTGCCTCAGCCTCCCAAGTAGCTGGGATTACAGGCATGAGCCACCACGCCCAGCTGATTTTGTATTTTTAGTAGAGATGGAGTTTCTCCATGTTGGTCAGGCTGGTCTCAAACTCCTGACCTCAGGTGATCTGCCCGCCTCGGCCTCCCAAAGTGCTGGGATTACAGGCATCAGCCACCTCGTCCGACCAAGACATAGAAATATTGTGAACAGCCTTTGCAACCTATTTACAGTAAACACAGCAACACACAAAGCTGTATAACATCCTGAATTCACTGATATAACCTTCGTTTATTCAGTCAATAAATACAGTGTCAGTTATGTGCCAGGAACTATGACTGGCGCTGGGGTTATAAGCAGTGAACACAAGAGAATATCCCTGCTTGCGGAGGTGATGATCTAGTTGGGGAAACACCAAGTAAACAAAATAAATATGTAAAATGTATCATGTATCCAACGATGATAAATGTCACAATTAACAAAAATTCAGGGAAAAGGGATAACAATTGTTATTTTAGGATAGTCAGGGAAGGCCTCACTAATATTGAAATGAGAGATTGAGCCATGTAGATATCTGGGAGAAGAGTATTCCGGGCAGAGAGAATGGCAAGTGCCAAGGACTGAGATAGGTATGTTTGGTGTTTCTGAGGAACCATGAGTGGGTCAGGTTGGCTGGAGCAATGTAAACGAGAGGGAAAGAAATAGGAAGTAGATGAAGAATGGGCCAGAAGGTGTGGCAACCTGAGAACACTGTGAGTGAGGATTCTGGCTTTTATTGAGCAGAGAAGGGACATGAAGTGACTTACATTTACGCAATAACATTTAATTGAGCATCAACCACATGGCAGATTCTGTGCTAGGCAGGCACTGGGGCTACTGTGGTGAACAAAACCAGCATAATTGCTGGGCGCAGTGGCTCATGCCTGTAATCCCAGCACTTGGGGAGGCAGAGGTGGGGGGACTGCTTGAGCCCAGGAGTTTGAGACCAGCTTGGGCAATATAGTGAGACCCCCATCTGTATAAAAAATAAAAAAATTAACCAGGTTTGGTGGTGGGCACCTGTAATCCCAGCTACTAGGGAGGCTGAGGCAGGAGAATCACTTGAACCCAGGAGGAGGAGGTTGTAGTGAGCCAAGATTGTGCCACTACACTCCAGCCTAGGTGGCAGAGTGAGATTCCATCTCAAAAAAAAAAAAAAAAAAAAAAAGAACCAGGAGGGGCTGGCACTATGCAGAGCTAGGGAAGGTCACTCCAAGCAGAGAAGGCAGCAAGTACAAAGGCCATGAGGCAAGAAGAGTCTTACGTGGGAAGAAGCAGAAAGGTGGATGCCGTGTGGTTAAGTCAGAGGACGGGTGTAGAGAGGCAGGCAGAGCTACATCAGACACGACCCTGTATTCTAAGAGCAGTTTGGAAATCACTGGATGAAACAAGTGACACGGGGAAAAAAAAGAAAATGAAGAAAAATAAAGAAAAGATAAGGGAGAAAAGCAAAGAAACAAAAACAAAAGCAAGAATGACATGGATCTGAAGAGGATGCCTCTGCTATGTGTGGAGAGCAAACTGGAAGTCCCCCCCCCAACAAACTCATGTACCAAAAAGAACTTGGAAGGGGCCAGGCACAGTGGCCCATGCGTATAATCCCAGCACTTTGGGAGGCCAAGGCAGGTGGCTCACTTGAGCCCAGGAGCTCGAGACCAGCCAGGGCAACATGGTGAAATCCCATCTCTACAAAAAATACAAAAATTAACCAGTTGTGGTAGTGTGCGCCTGTAGTTCCAGCTGCTAGGGAGGCTGAGGCAGGAGGACTGCTTGGGCCATGATCATGCCACTGCACTCCAGCCTGGGTGACAGAATGAGATCCTGTCTCGAAAAAAAAAAAAAAAAAATCCAGAAGACTGTACCACACCACATTCTGCACATTCTGGATGTTCACAGACCCCAATGGGACCTAGGTTAACCACTCCCATATTTGCAACACTATTTTTTTTTTTTTTTTGACAGAGTGTTGCTCTGTAGCCCAGACTAGAGTGCAGTGGTGTGATCTCGGCTCACTGTAGCTTTCACCTCCCAGGTTCAAGCGACTCTCCTGCCTCAGCCTCCTGGATAATTGGGATTACAGGCACCTGCTACCATGCCTGGCTAATTTTTATATTTTTAATAGAGACAGAGTTTCACCATGCTGGCCAGGCTGGTCTCAAACTCCTGAGCTCAAGTGATCCACCCACCGCGGCCTCCTGAAGTGCTGGGATTACAGGCTTAGCCACTGCACCCAGACCCATATTTGCAACTCTCTCTAGGAAAAACATACGCTAAGGAAGGTCACCAGGACCTGGAGAGAGAATAACGTACAGGAGGGAATCATCTGAAACTCTATTCTTTAGTCTGTAGCCAAAATTAGAGGTTGAGGGTTGTGGAAGGAAGAACAACGCATTGTTGGTATCAAAATAATAGGGCAGTCAGTGACGGCCAGAAAATACTTGCTTTCGTTCACTAAAGAGAAAAAAGAAAATAGCATAGTTGGAGGGACTGCACTTACTTTAATAAGTTTGGATATCTTTTCAATGTGAGAAATAAAGGACTGACTGGAATGCAGTCCTTTTAAACATGACTGTTAGAATATTTGTATCAGGAACAAATTATTTTCCTTCTTGTGTTTTGGGCAGGAAGAAAAAAGAGAGGAGAGAAAAGAGAAAGAAAGAGAAAAAGAGAGAGAGAAAAAAAGTAAGAAAGAAAGAAAGAAAAAGAAAGAAAGAAAGAAATGAAAGAACAGATTATCTAAGGAAAATTTTGGTATAAGCACCATTCCTACCCTACCAGCCTCTCTTCCAGTTCCCAGGCCTTATTCTGCAAGTCGGAGAAATGAAGTGTGGGGACAGGAGACGCACCAATGGCTAGAAAACCTGCTCAGATGGAAAAAGGAGTAGACCCAGGAAAGAGGAAAAAAGTTTTGAGGAATTCTTGTTAGGAGTTATGGAGAGGATTCTCAATGGAGAAGTGAGTGCATGAATAAAGGAGAAGTTGTTTTTAAAAGAGATATGGCTAGGTGCAGTGGCTCATGGCAGTAATCTCAGTGCTTTGAGAGGCTGAGACAGGAGGATTACTTGAAGCCAGGAGTTCAAGACCAGCCTGGGCAACAAAGTGACACCCCGTCTCTACAAAAAATTTTAAAAATTAGCCAGGTGTGGTGGTGCGTGACTGTAGTCCCAGCTACTTGGAAGGCTGAGGCAGGAAGATTGCTTGAGGCCAGGAGTTCAAGGCTGCAGTGAGCTATGATGGCGCCACTGTACTCCAGCCTGAGTGATGGAGCAGGACCCTGTTTTGCATAATCATCATCATCATAATGAGATGCCATATGGACAGGATTCACAACTGAGAAGTGAGAGAGAGAAAGAGAAAAATGAAGATCTGAAAAGAGGTGCCATAGCACCATTCTCTTTGAGTTGCTGGGAGATAATTAAGTTGATTTATTTCAACCTGCCTGTTGGACTCAAATATAGCACTATACAGAGATTAGGCAACCGTGGCCCTCAGGCATTTTCAGGTTACATTTACTGTATCATGTCTCAGCTTCTATGCTAAGCAATTGGGATGCAAAGATGAATCAACATAGTACCTGGCCCCAAGCTACTTAGGAGAAGGGCAGATATGAAGATGATGCTAAGCACTATGATGCTGTGACAGTCCATGAGCATGAGGGGGACACAGGAGCAGTCTGGGGAGTCCTAAAGAGGAGGGTAAATAGGTAGTGGGGGAACGGTTTTGGATTTTTACAGGGCTGCTCACCTCCAAGCTGAGATGTCTGGATAAGCACTTCAGAACTTGAGCCATGCTGGCTGTGGCCCGTTCCCGCTCATGGTCTTTGACTGACTGTAACCAGGGGTTCATGTGCTGTGAGAAATAAAAGGAGGCTAACTGGTTTATCAGGAAGATTTGGGGTATCATCTTTATTGTGTTTAGAAAAAAATGCAGAGAGAGAAGCTCCAAGCTGCTACCAGGTCTGAAAATACTTTGCTAAATACTATGATAGCTCGAGTTGGAAATGAAAGTGGTAGAATGATAAGCAAGGCACAAAGACCTAGGCAGTGGGTGATTTGGCTGCTACATAGGAGCTTCTTTTCTTTTTTTGAGATGGAGTCTTGCTCTGTGGCCCAGGATGGAGTGCAATGGTGCAATCTCAGCTCACTGCAACCTCAGCCTCCCGGGTTCAAGTAATTCTCTTACCTCAGCCTCCTGAGTAGCCAGGACTATAGGCACCTACCACCATGCCTGCTAATTTCTGTATTTTTGTGGAGAGGGGATTTTACCATGTTGGCCAGGCTGATCTCAAACTCCTGACCTCAGGTGATCCATCCACCTTGGCCTCCCAAAGTGCTGGGATTACAGGCGTGAGCCATTGCACCTGGCCAGAGCTTATTTTCCCTTCAGCCCAATTCTTCAATTAATTTTTCTGTACTTCTGAATGGTTTTAGCCCTTTCAAATCTGCCTTAAAAAGAAATAAATTTAACAACATACTATTAATATTGAAGAATTATGAGAATAGCCAGGTGTGGTTGCTCATGCCTGTAATCCCAGCACTTTGGGAGGAATTACAGATTGCTTAAACCCAGGAGTTGGAGACCAGCCTGGGTAACGTGGTGAAACCCCATCTACCAAAAAATCCAAAAATTAGCTGGGCATGGTGGCGTGCACCTGTAGTCCCAGCTGCTTGGGAGGCTGAGGTGGGACGATTGCTTGAGCCTGGGAGGTGGAGATTACAGTGAGCTGAGATCGTGCCACTGTACTCCAGCCTGGTGACAGAGTGAGACCCTGTCTCAAAAAAAGAAAGGCTTGAATTAAGCTATGAAGGCAGGAAAGTACAAAGTACAACTGAATAAAGAGGAGAAACCCAATCTGGCTGGTATGCTAATGTACAAATAGAAGAGGAATGAGAAATAGTAGTAAGGTCAGTTAGGACAAGAATAAATGCCCATCAGAGCATTTATTATTTGTTATTATTTATCATTTTTCCCTTCATCCCAATTCTTTAATTAATTATTCTGTACAGAAGCACAGAAAATGAGCTAGAAAATAAGCTCCTGGGCTGGATGCAGTGGCTCATGCCTGTAATCCCAGCACTGTGGGAGGCTGAGGCAGGTGAATCAAGAGGTCAGGGGTTCAAGACCAGCCTGACCAACATGGTGAAACCCCGTCTCTACTAAAAATACAAAATTAGCTGGGCACGGTAGTGCACGCCTGTAATCCCAGCTACTCAGGAGGCTGATTCAGGAGAATTGCTTGAACCCGGGAGGTGGAGGTTGCAGTGAGCTGAGATTGCGCCACCGCACTCCAGCCTGTGCGACAAAGCGAGACTCCATCTCAAAAACCCAAAAAAAAAAAAAAAAAAAAAGGAAGAAAGAGAGAAAGAAAAGAAGCTCCTTTAGCAGCCAAACCACCTGACTGCCTAAGTCTTTGTGTCTTGCTTGTCAGTTAGGACAAGAATAAATGGATCATAGGGTGCAGATGATTAATAATAGCTTAAAGGGTTATCCCTTTCTGGGATATTTGCACCTTAAAAAAGGGTAAGAAAAATAAAAGTAAAATAACAACAACAACAACAAAAAAGGGCAAGAGAGCAAGATACCTGAACCACAGTGAAGGAATTCCAACGAATAAATCTCTAGTGATGGAATGGCATATACAGAATCAGGTGCAGGTCAGAGAAGTTGGTTATTATGACCTTTGAGTATCATCTGGTAGGAAGCTGCTTATTTACTAACTCTTCTTTTTTCATTTGTTTTTGAGAAGAAGCCTTGCACTGTCACCCAGGGTGGAGTGCAGTGGCACAATCTTGGCTCACTGCGACCTCCGCCTACCAGGTTCAAGTGATTCTCCTGCCTCAGCCTCCCAAGTACCTGAGACTACAGGCATGTACCACCACGCCTGGCTAATTTTGCCTTTTTAGTAGAGACAGGGTTTCACCATGTTAGCCAGGCTGGTCTCGAACACCTGACCTCAAATGATTCACCCGCCTTGGCCTCCCAAAGTGCTGAGATTACAGGCATGAGTCATTGCATCCAGCCTTAGTAACTCTTGAGGCTGACTCTTCCCTCATCACTGAATAAAACCCTTCTATATTAGTAAGGAATAATACTGTTAAAATTTTTTTTGATACAGAGTCTCTGTCACCCAGGCTGGAGTGCAGTGGTGCAATTGCTGCTTACTGCAACCTCCGCCTCCTGGGTTCAAGTGATTCTCATGCCTCAGCCTCCCGAGTAGCTGGGATTACAGGTGGGCATCACCATGCCTGGCTAATTTTTGTATTTTTTTTTAAGTAGAGTCAGGGTTTTGCCATGTTGGTGAGGCTCGTCTTGAGCTCCTGGCCTCAAATGAGTCACCCGCCTTGGCTTCCCAAGGCAGAGGTGGGAAGATAACTTGAGGCCAAGAGTTCGAGGCTGCAGGGAGCTATGATGGTGCCACTGCACTTCAGCCTGGGCAACAGAGCAAGACCCTGTCTCTGAAAATAAATAAATAAACGATTGAAGGCCATTTATTCAGTATTTTCAGTAATTATTATCTCCATGTAAACGTGAAGAAATGTGACTCTGAGAGAGCAAATTCCTTGCAGAATTTCTAGCAGAACTTATAACCAATGAATGGCAGAGTCAGAATTTGAACCCAAGCCTCTGACTCAAAGTTGATAGCTGATACTCTTTACTACATTGCCTCTTACAACTGAGTCCTTCCACACTTTCATCTCCCACTTTCACCAGTTAATAGAATTTCTCATTCTCCCTTGATATCTTGTTTACCTTAATAATGGTGTCAAGATTTTCCAAATGTGGGTCTTTTACCACCAAACTCTGGAGCATCTCAAAGAACGCCTGAAACGTCTCCCTGTAAAGACACTGAGAAGGCACAGGATCAGCGATGCTCCCCCATCTCATGTGAAGTTCCCCTAGCATGGGATGCTTTGGAGGCTCTTCTGATCCTAAGACTTTACTCAAAGTTGCAGAACCAGTGTAAACGTACTGGTAGACAGTTTGCGGCATGAGATAAAAGGAATACATCTTCATTTCAAATGGATGCCTTGGCATTAGAGGGATCACAGCTGACTGAGTCTTACTACATCTGGAAAATTGCTTAAGAGTCATTATCAGATTCTTTTATTTTTTATTTTTTGGGATGGAGTCTCACTCTGTCGCCCAGGCTGGAGTGCAGTGGTGCGATCTCGACTCACTGCAACCTCTGCCTCCCAGGTTCAAGAGATTCTCCTGCCTCAGCCTCCCAGTAGCTGGGATTACAGGCGCCTGCCACCATGCCTGGCTAATTTTTTTGTATTTTTAGTAGAGATGGGGTTTCACCATGTTAGCCAGGATGGTCTCAATCTCCCGACCTCGTGATCTGCCCCCCTCGGCCTCTCAAAGTGCTGGGATTATAGGCATGAGCCACTGCGCCCAGCCAAGATTCTTTAAAGTTGACTTGTGACTCTTTCTGACATCTTGAAACAGAGGGCAATAGAGTCCTCTTGTGTAACTGCTTTACCAACCAGTTTCTTAGCCACTGAAGAAGAGATCAAGGCCTGTGTGTACTCTTCCCTCTGCTTGAAAGCTTTCTCTCCAGATACACCACAAACCTTCTCTCTTCTTCCAGTTATCACCCCATCATGAAGGCTTTACCCGACCACCCATGCGCCTCCCAACCACAGGGCTCTCTATCCTGCTCTTCCCCTGCTTTATTTTTTTTATAACACTTATTATCAGCTGACATTTTATATTTATGTATCAACAGTTTGTCTCTCTGCACTAGGATGTAAGCTCCTTGAGTGGGACTGTGCTGCTGTATTACCACTTCTTATCACGTTTGGCATATGGTGACCCTTAAATAAATGTTAAGCATACAAATGAGTGCTCCCACCTTATTTTAAAGGCAAAAGGAAGGAAAGAATAGATGAAAAAGGAAAGAAGACAAAATGAAGACTTGAAAGAAGCTATCTTCTAATTTAACCACCTATTTTATTCACCAGACTTGGCTTATGGTTTTTGACTAGTTTCAAAAAATCAAATGCACTCTCAAAAGGCCAAGATCAGCTGACCCTGTGGATGGAAAGTGGTTAAAGCAAAGCGTGAGTTACCTCTGTGTTGCAGGTCCCATTGGGCACGATTTCCCGCATCTGGGTAAGAGTCCTTACAGAGGGCAGAGTGATTATACTCCTGGTGATAAGACTGAACAACTCGGCTCGATCTTCAGAGCCAGACAGCAAATGGACATCTTGGTAACTAAGAAAAGACAGTTTGGGAACAGCAAGCTGGGAAGATGGTTTGATTTGATATTGATAAGCACAGAGCAATGGAACTAAAAAGGAAAGGGAAGACAGGCCAGTGCACTGTTCTGTTGGGAGAGATAAATGGCATGGCTTGTCGGTCTGTTCAGATAAATCTCACAAAAGGTTAGAGGAAGAGTTTCCCCCCAAGTAGTTACTGGAGTAATATCCTTGCAGAGCTCCCTTCAGTTCAACCACAGAGGGAAGCCTACTACAGCCTAGTGTGGTAAGCCACAATTTTCCAAAGCATATTCTGCTGAATGTTCATTTGGGGAATCATGGGTTGAATCTAGTCAAAAAACTTTTTAACTGCAAGACTTCTCAGGACCATTGATCAGCTTAATCACTGCAACACAAATCTCTGACAGGTAAACAGCAGGCAGCCCTTCTAAATTTCTTACAAGTCGGAACTCTAAAGTTATGTGGCATATATGGGAGTAACTTCCTACCAAATATACTTGGGACAAAACTCAACTCTAAAGAGATTCTAGCAAGGGTTTTCAGATATGGATAGTAGCATATGTGAAATCAAAGTTCTTATGCAAAAACATGGATTTGGCTCCGCTTTTCTAAATAAACCGTTTTCAAAAATTTAAAATATGGATCATGGCCGGGCATGGTGGCTCACATCTGAAATCCCAGCCCTTTGGGAAGCCGAGGCGGGTGGATCACCTGAGGTCAGGAATTCAAGACCAGCCTGGGCAACATGGTGAAACCCCATCTCTACTAAAAATACAAAATTAGCCAGGTGTGGTAGTGCACACCTGTAATCCCAGCTATGCAGAAGGCTGAGTGAGGCAGGAGAATTGCTTGAACCCAGGGGCCGAGGTTGCAGTGAGCCAAGATTGCGCCATTGCACTTCAGCCTGAGTAACAGAGCGAGACTCCGTTGCAAAAAGAGAAACAAAACAAAAACAAAGGGTCATGTCAGTTGGACCTGGCATTGGCCCTGAGAGGAACCAGGATTCCCCTGTAAGGGGCATGTGAGCATCACCTGAGATCAGATATGGTGACAAAGACCTCCGGGTGCACAGGACTTAACAGAGAACACAGGTGCTCCTCTTGTACCAGTACCTGCAATGACAGAAAAGAACTTGAGAGTTGAGAAAGTACCCATTCATTAGGCCACTGGCCATCAGAGACTGGGTGGCCTGCAAGAACCACAGCAGGTCCTTCTAGCCAGCCCTGCTCTGAGGCCCCAGACGACTGGCAGCAGGACAGTGGAGGGTCAGGGGTTTATTCTCTTAAGCCAGACCCCAGACCCTGGCTCTGTCTCTACCAGCTGTTTGAGCTGACACAAATGATTTTTATTTTATTTTATATTTTGAGACTCGCTCTGTTGCCATGCTGGAGTGTAGTGGCACAATCTTGGTTTACTGCAAACTCTGACTCCCTGGTTTAAGTGATTCTCCTGCCTCAGCCTTCTGAGTAGCTGGGATTACAGGCCCCTGCCACCATGCCCAACTAACTTCTGTATTTCTAGTAGAGATGGGGTTTCACCATGTTGGCCAGGATGATCTCAATCTCCTGACCTTATGATCTACCTGCCTCAACCTACCAAAGCATTATAGGCGTGAGCCACCATGCCTGGCCCTACTGACACAAATTATTTAACCCCCTTGTGCCTCGGTTTCCTCATCTGTAAAACCATAAAACAGTAATACTTAACATTCATGGGGTGGCTGTGAGTACTCACTGAGCAAACTCATGATACCTAGCAGCCCTGTGTAATTGTTAGTGTCTGTTATTCATCATTTTTATCACCAGTAATTATTTCTAGTTTAGGCATTCTAAATCATCTCTCCACTAAACCAGCCATCTCTTCGATCATGTCTAATATTATTCTGAGTTACTTGTCCTGGAAAAAGAATAATTTTCCAAATTACAAACTGGCAGAGGGAAAGCTGCCTTGCTGTGCTGGAAAAACCTGTGGAGTGATAAGCGGGGGCTTTAGAGCTGGACAGTCCCTGGGCTGAGTACTGGCTTTGCCGCTCACTCACTGTGCGGGCCTGAATGTGTCATTTAACTCCCTGTGCCTGCGTTGCCTTATCTGTATGGAGAAAATGAGCTGATGTAAATGACTTTAGCTGGCTGGGCACGGTGGCTCACGCCTGTAATTCTAGTACTTTGGGAGGCCGAGGTGGGTGAATCACTTGAGGTCGGGAGTTCAAGAGCAGGTGCCTATAATCCCAGCTACTCAGGAGGCTGAGGCAGGAGAATTGCTGAAACCTGGGAGTCGGAGGTTACAGTGAGCTGAGATCGTGCCACTGCACTCCAGCCTAGGCAAAAGAGCAAAACTCCCTCTTTCCACCATCTTTCCGCGCTGCCACAATGGTGTGCATGAATGTCCTGGCAGATGCTCTCAAGAGCACCAACAATGCCGAAAAGAGAGGCAAACAAACGCCAGGTGCTTATTAGGCCGTGCTCCAGGAGGGAAAATCCTGGGATTCTTTTTCTAGGGATGTAATACACATATTTACAAATAAAATGCCTCATGGACTCTGGTGCTTCTAAAAAAAAAAATAGCAAAACTCCATCTCAAAAAAAAAAAAAAAAAAAACTAGCAGAAGCCTGGCTGGACTGTCCAACAGGCCTCTCTGGGAACTGTCCCCAGCCCATAGAAATGGGCACCTCAAAGCCATGTGTCTGCTAAGTCCCATTGGCCACAGCTCATCTGTCCCAGAGTAGACACCAAGGTCAATTAGATTCTTTTTTTCTTTTTTTTTTTCTTAATCTTATTAAGCCTACAGCACCCGGTATTCCCAGGTGGTCTCCCATCCAAGTACTAACCAGGCCCAACCCTGCTTAGCTTCTGAGATCAGACAAGGTCCGGCACGTTCAGGGTGGTATGGCCTTAGACGGTCAATTACATTCTCTCTGGAATCTGGAATTGGGACAAAGAGCTTCAATCTCAGTCTGGATGATCTTCTAAAGGAAAAAAAAAATTAAAATTTGGAAGCACTGGTCCCTACAGATAAGGCAACTGAGAGGGCCAATTTTGGGGAGAGAAGATGGGGGAGAGGAAGACAGAGAGAGTAGAAATGGAAATTCACACAAGGGAACAAAAATAAGAGATGGAGAGAAAGCTAACCTTGAGTACGTGGAAGGTTTTTATTTTCTAGATTCATTCCCTTCCTGGGTCAGGCTGCTCCTCCTGTCAAGGGGTCCTGGGAAACAATCAGCCATCCTTAGAAAAAACCTCACCTTTTGTGTTTCAGGGGCTTCTAGAGGATTTCTCTTATCTTTAATAAAAAAGACCTCACTAGGAACTTAGGATGCAGGCTGGGCACGGTGGCTCACTCCTGTAATCCTGGCACTTTGGGAGACTGAGGTGGGCAAATCACTCGAGGTCAGCAGTTCGAGACCAGCCTGGCCAACATCGTGAAACCCAATCTCTACTAAAATATAAAATTTAGCCAGGCATAGTGGCAGGTGCCTGCAATCCCAGCTATTTGGGAGGCTGAGGCAGGAGAATCGCTTGAATCTGGGAGGTGGAGGCTGCAGTGAGCTGAGACAGTGCTGTTGCACTCCAGCCTGGGCAGCAAGAGTAAAACTCCATCTCAAAAACAACAAAAAAACTTAGGATGCAGTGAGTGCTTAATAAACACTACAAGGTTCCCTTTCTTGCCCCTTTCTGAGTTTTTCTTCTTTTACTTTCCAGCTCTGGTCTGACTTAGATCTTGCTGGTAGGCTGCTGCTCTCTTTCCTTATTTCCTCAAAGAGCGCATGTATTTTTGTGGCTTTACAGTCTGGAAAGGACAAAGCCTAAGACTCTGTCTTCAGCCCTGATAGCTCTCCCAGGGCTCTACTTGCCCGCACCCAGTTATCTCAAGGGCACAACCACTAAAATCCCCATAATTTTGGCATTAAAGTCAGTTCATTGTGATCCCCCTACAAAGAACACAACATCACCCTAATCCCTCCTTCCTTCCTTCCTTTATCCCAGTTACTATGACCTACCTTCCTTCCTTTTCTCCCTCCCTCCCTCCTCCCTCTCTCTCTCCCCTCCCTCCCTCTCTCTCTCCCCTCCCTCCCTCTCTCTCTCTCCCCTTCCTCCCTCTCTCCCTCTCCCCTCCC